TTGGAAGCCTTAAATGCACATGTATTTAAAAAAAAAAAAAAGAAAAGAAAATGGTGGCACAAATGTGCTAATGTGGTGTAATGGATGCACTGAAAAATCTTCTTGTGCGAATTGTTATATATTAGAAATAATTGAACAGTAATTGATTTGTGTTTTTATGCTGCTGATAAGTTCAGAGATTCACAACTGTAGTCACATAGCAGGTAATAGTGGCCACCTAGTTAGCTTCCTTTATTTAACCAAAAGAAAACAAACATACAGTTTTGATCTCCAATTTTTGGAGGAAAACAGAGACAGAAAAACATTTGCATTTTTCACAACTTTAGAAGCATTGAAATGGAAGTTAAGAAGTAGGGATAATTTCAGAAACCGTCCCTGAGGTTTCTGACAATTTCACTGCCCTTCCCTAAGATTTTAAAATTTTCATTAACCTCACTTAAAACTAATGTTCATGTACCAAATTAGCCCAATTCAAAAAAAAAAATCAAAAAGATTTCAAGAGTGAAAAGAATATTTCATACCAAAAGTACCCCTCAACTTATTACTAGTTGATTGATTTAGAATCAAAAGGAAATATTAGTTAAAAATAGAAATAAAAACTAAGCTCTAGCATGAGCACAATAAAGTTTAATAACAATGACATTTTCATAGAGTTGCATAAAATAGCAAAATCAAAGTATTGGAGAGGAAAACTTGTTAATTTGGAGTCAAGATTTACACATAAAATTTCTAAACTCTTAGTATTAGAATTTGAAAGATTTTGAACAAGACAAAGTATGGGCTTTTCAAGAAAAAAACATCACGACAGATTGCTAATGATAAAAAAATATAAAATATACTAAATATATGTTATATTTTTTGAATTATTTCTTTAAATTATGGGGTCCATTATTTCACATTATTAACAAGAAATTTCCATCATTTGTATTTGAAAAAATTAACAACTCTCAAGCAATGTTTGGATTAATAGAAAGGGTTTGATTTTAATGGGAAAAGCAGATAAATCAATGGGAAAATTTGTCTCTAACCATCTTGTTTGGATCACGTATACAAAGAAAAGAAAAAAAACACCAATATTTTGAAAAAGAAAGGAAATAATAGATTATGTGCAGTTGCATTTTATCTATAACTTAGTAAAATCTAATTGTAAACATATTTTAATACTTTACCATATTTTTGTGTATTTTCATATACATCTTGTTATTCTTATGAAAAATTTATGAAACAATAATATCTTAATAGGAATTTTAATCTTTTTTAGGAGAAAGAAATTGCAAGAACTAGTACTAAAATATAGAAAAAGAATTTTAAAATGTTAACAATTATCATTATAAAATTCAGTATTCAAGATTTTTAAATTTTTTATTTCCAAATCATGGTTAATTTAGTATAAGTGACTCAATTGTTTATCTCCCTATAAATACATAATATTTCCTATGTTGTAAGGATAATAAAGTCGTTTGACCATCCATGAGGTAAGCATTTGGCCCCAAATGACTTATAAGGGAGGTAAGTGATATTTTCAAAATTTCAGAGGAGGGCAGTGAAATTGTTAGAAACCTCAAAGTAGGCTTCTGAAATTATCCCTAAGAAGTATCTCATCTAATTCTCTCTCTCTCTCGTCAAAAAAAATTGTCTATCTTTTTTCTTCTCTTTTTTTGGGATAATTTCACTAACCTCCCTTAAGTTTCTAACAATTTCATTGAGTTCCCTCATGATTTTAAAAATTACACTTACCTCCCTTGTCCACATAAAATGACAATATTAGCTTTAGCATTTTAATTGAACTCTCTTGTTTGGTGTGCAAAAAATGGGATTTATAATTATTTTTTCTTTTCTTTTTCTCTTCTTATTCCTTCTTTTTATATTTTTGCTAGCGAAGCCATAGAAAACTATAACCACTGGCCCTAAATGTTGAATTAGTGATTTTTTAAATAACTTTGAATGCAATCCAATTTTTATTTGTCGATCTTTTTTTTTAAATCAAAAGGAACACTAACTCAAAAAGAAATGGTCAAAACTACAACCAAATTATAGTAATTCCAGCAATCCAAAAATTCACAAACTCTAAAAAAAGCAGTATGATCATACTTGCCTCTCCAATTTAGAAAGAATATGTATCCCCTATAAAATACCATTAAAAGCATTTTATCATAAAGTAGAACTATCTTCATAATCATTATCAAAAAATAAATATGGTATTAAAAACTTGACACTCTTTCCTTATATTTGTGTTAGCGATTGCTTTATAAAATAATTAAACTTTATAAGTTAAGGGTATTTTGTGGTATTCATTTAAATTGTTGAGCAAGTTTGAGGTCTGACTACAAAAGTGTCAAATTAAGTGAGATAGGTGTAATTTTTAAACCTTAAGGAAAGTCAATTGTTAGAAATCTCATGGTAAGTTTATGAAATCATCCCTTTTCCCCTCTAATATCCTTCTTCCCTTGTTCATTTTCCCATTTCCTCCCATCCTCTCCCCTTTCTCTCTTCCCAATTTTATCGGGGCCTAAGCATAAGTTTTCATGTAAAATAGGAATGAATGAACGGGAGATTTTACAATCTTTTTTGCGTTAGATGGTGAAATAAGTGTTTTAACTTCTAGATTATAACAATTTTAAATATTTAAAATATGAAACAATATCGACATTGAGGGATACACATTGGGATAATAGTCCTCTGAAGGGACTATAGAATTTCCCTGAATGATATGCACAATTTTTTATACCCTGACTTCAAAACTTTGGCCGAGGACAACAAGGATGTATGTTTTGCTCATGCCTCCTGATTGGCTTTTGATCAAAGATACGATCAAAGTAGGCAGTTGTAATTTTCTTTAAGAAAACGAATTTCTGCATATTAGATCATTATTATCTAATCTTCACGTATTTCAGTATGTTCTTGTTTTATCTTTATATAAGTTCACCATGTTCTGTTGATTATCGTGGAACGAAAATTCAGTTCCGCTTTCAGCAGATATGATAGTATTTCTTAAGAGGACTAAAATGCATTCTTTTCCAAGTTTTAACTTTTCGTTTGGACGTAGTGTATTATTTCCCGCAGATGTGCACAAGCTTACGCTAGATATTTGGCACAAATGGCTTTATATTGTAAATTAAGAAATGCCTATACGGGGACTAGTAAGTTTAATTCAAATGATTAACTTAGAAGCTTGACAAATTTACAATGTTGGAAAAATCTCCTTGCCCCCCACACTTTTTAAATTGCACTCCTTCCCTGCTAAAAAAAGTTAAAAATAATTACAGTGTTGGAAAAATTTTAGGAAGATCAAAAACTTGATTACCTAATAGCTTGATTAATTTCAGCTCTGTTTAAGCATTACTTTCACCTTTGTTGAGATAACAAAAAAAAAAATTCTCCTAATATGTGAAGTCATTATAGCAGTTAATGCTTGGATTATCATACTCTTAGGGTTCATTTAGTTCATAGATTGGATGAGATGACATGACTCATCCAAGGATTATCAATCCTCGGTTGAATCATTCTCAGGTTAATAATCTACATTATATAGTGTTTGGTTGGTTCTAAGTTGGATAGGATATATTGGGAAATCATCCTATCCTGTGTTTGGTTGGAGATTAGATGAGATAGGATTACTATTTTAATGACCAGAGAACTCTTTAATTTGTAGGATCATTTTAATAAAATAATTTAGTAATTTATAAATTTTATTAAAATAAAGTTATTTGAAACTTTAGAATTATAAAGTAAATAAATGGTTTTGATATATAAAATTTACATTCACTCAAATTCAGCCCATTCAAGCCCTTAAGAATAGGTTTTAACATAGTTTTAGAATTTAAATTTGAAATTTAATTAAATAATGGTCCAAGTTTTGGCTATATTAGGATTAAATTGAATAAAATTCAACCCATTTAAGAGTCTTAAATAAGCCAAACTCAAACCAACATAGAAGATTTTTTATGTGTCGAGTTTGAAGTTATTGAAGTCCTCATTCATATAACCCAATTGATAAGGTTATATATTTATATAGAATTTAGTTGATAAAATAAGGTTACTAAGGGCAATATAGTCAAAGGATAATATAGTTTTTTTTATTATAATGTAAGTAGGGGCAAATTAGTCAAAAAATTTAAATTAATTAATAGGGGTAAATTTGTCAAAAAATTTAAATTAATAAAGGGAACAAATTAGTCAAAAATTTTAATATAATTAGTAGGGGCAGATTAGTTCATTTATTATCATATTATTATATGAAAGTATGGTTATATAATATTCAGTATGAATTTGTATCATTCGCAAGTGCAAATTAGTCCAAATATTGTTATGTTGGTAGTAGGGGTAAATTAGTCAAAAAAATTTAAATTAATTAGTGGGGGAAAATTAGTCAATTCATGTTATATTATCGTGTGTGGGTAAGATTATTTAATTATGAGAGTCTAAATTTATATTATTTGTAAGGATAAATTAGTTTAAAATTTCATCATCATATCTCTTAATCATTTTGAGATGACTAATGCCATCTCCCCTTGGGATTATTTTATCCCATTAATAGGAGATTAAGGCCCCATTTGGGATTGTGGTGCTTTTGATAAAAAAAAAAATTTTAGCTGTTAAAAGTACTTTTGAAGCGTTCAATGAATATCATTCCATAAAATTAGAAGTAGAACTTTTAGTGTTAAAAACACTTATAGCAAAAACTTGAATTTGGTGCTTTTAAAGTAGATTTTGTGATTTAAAAAATAAACTATTTTTTTTTCAATAGCAATATTATTAATGTAACCAAAGAAAATTACAAAGTCCGGAACCAACCCTTCCATAGGATTACAAGATCGACCCCCTTGACCATCTCTAGCCAACCCTTACCGCCTGCATCTACGAAAATTTGGAAAACCAGACGCATCTAAAGTAATATCTCCCCTCACCAGCCTAGGTAATTCACTATATGCCTCATAAATTGCAGTACACCCAGCCTCCACTCCAGCATTAGACAATCTGTCCATCAGCTTGTTTGCCTCTCAAAAACAATGAGTAACGGCTTCAAAATACCGCTCATATTGCAGCAGATCTTGTAACTCCCTCTGCAACTGCCATGGACACCTAACCTTCCCCTGAATAATACGGGCCAAAACCAGTGAATCAGACTCTAGATGCAACTTAACTAATCCACGAGATACACTTAATTGAGTACCAAAATGAAGAGCTTTCAGCTCCGCATGAAGGCTTGTAATCTCCCCAAAACAACATGAAAAACCCAGAAGAAATCTCCCAAAATAATCCCTGAACACTCCCCCACCGCCACTCCTCCCCGGATTACCCCTTAAACAACCATCGGCCACCACCGACTGACTCGGGCATTTCCAACAAACCTCCAGTATGGTAACCTTGCTGCGCAGCCTTGCTATCATATCGAAAAAACCAATCAGTGAGTTACAAGTCAGTGATATCTCCCAAAACTGAAGACAAAAACATTCTCTCAACTCCAAGAAAATTCGATCGCAAACATGCATTACCGAGTCTAGCTTACCATCGAAAATCCGCATATTTCGCATCTTCCATAAATTCCAGCAAATTAACGATGGCAAAGTGCGTAGAACAAAATCAAGGTAAGAATTAGAAGTAGGTTTGACCAACCAACTCATCACTTTATGTCTAACCGTGAAAGCTTCTCTAATCCCGCCGATGAGACCCTCAAAGCACTCCCAAACCTGTTTAGCCACCTCCCTCATACTGAAAATATGATTAATAGTTTCTGGGGACGGGTTCAGGCTACAACAAAAGCATCTAGAGGGGCCCAGTACCCCAAACTTGTGTAACACATCCATCAACGGCAACCTACCTCACATCAATCGCAACATAAAAAAGGAAATTTTTTATGCCAAAGCCTGATGCCACAAAGAAGCAAACAGTCTGGAACCATTACCTCCTTTACGCACTATCTGATATGCCGAGAAGATAATAAACTCACCTGAATTATTGGAGGCCTAGATCATTTCATCCCTCTTCGGCGCAGTAGGAGAAGCCACACCCATCACCTGCTGCACCCATCCCGACGGCAACACCCTATTCAAGCGCTGCAGATCCCACCTGCCTTCCATGACAAAATTTGCAACCGAGTGCTCTTGAAAAGATTCCACTTGCCTACACAACGGCCCTGTCCCCAACCAATTGTCATGCCAAAAACTTGAGGAGCCACTACCCAGCGACCATCGTATAAGCTTTTCCACTTCCACTTGAGCGTTCAACATCCTTTTCCAAGTGTGTGATTGCCCTGGAGAGAAATCCAAATAACAAGGATGCACATCTGGACAATACTTCAGGTGCATAAACTCAGCCCATAAAGATTGTCACGACCTAAAATTTCACCATAATTTCAAAGAAAAGGCATCAAACACATGTTGTAAAGATCTAAGGTTTGCATAGCTGACTCCATTTAATCCAATGAAGCCACGGTCCAAACTCCGAAGCACCCCATAAGAATTCAGCAAAATATACTCCAACACGCCAAATATCCCTCTAGGAAGGTTGGAAGCAGCAAGAATATGGATTGGCATGGACGCCAGCACACTCCGTATCAGCACCAACTTCCCACCTGATGACAATAGTCTCTCCTTCCACGACAAAATCCTACTTACAACTGAAGTACAAATCGCTGAAAAATAGCTCTTTTTCCATCTTCCCGAGTATAGTGGGCAAACTAAATACGTCACCGGGAAGGACTGGGGTCAAAACCTAGTGACTTGTGCCATAATACGCTTCCGCAAATCCGACAGTGTAACATGGGACAAGAAACCACTCTTATGCTGGTTCACCTTTTGCCTCGATATCGACGTATAATCCTCCAACACCTGCATAATCCACTGTAGCGATCTTTTCATGCCACTAAAAAAGATAATGATATCGTCTGCATAAGCTAAGTGCGTGACAACCGGGCATCACTTCGGAACCTTGAATGGCACAAAGCCCTGCCGCCCACTCAAGGAATTTAGACAACGGAAGAGAACCTCAGCACACAAAATAAAAGGTCTGGTGAAATTGGATTTCCTTGACGAATCCCCCGACTAGACTTAAAGAAGCCTTGGGGCGACCCATTCACAATAATTGAGAACCAGACATTCGAAATCAGCCTTCAAATCATATCAATCCAATCTTCACAAAAACTAAACCTTCTCAGCACCTGAATAAAAAATGGCCATGAAACCCTGTCGTAGGCTTTGGCCATGTCGATCTTTAACACAATATTACCCCCTCTACTAGCTTTCCCAATATCCGTTATAATCTCATGAGCTAACAGAACATTTTCAAAAATTTGCATACCCTTCACAAAATCGCTTGGCTGAGGTGAAATGATGGTAGGTAACACCTTGGCCAATCTAATCGCTAAAACTTTGGAGATCACTTTATTAAGAAAATTGTACAGGCTAATCGGTCTGAATTGACTAAAATCTTGAAGAGATCTAACCTTGGGAATAAGTACTATCCATGTTGCCGTGAAACTCTTGGGCAACTCTTGACCACAAAAGAAACTAACCACCGGCTCACATACATCTTCTGCCACCACCTCTCATGCAAAGGTGAAAAATCTCCCAGTGAAACCATCTGGTCCCGCTACACTCTCCCCATCCATCCCAAACACCACCTCTCTAATCTTCTCCATCTCCGGAACCCTCACTAGTTCCTCATTTTGTATGTGAGAAATCATGTGGAGAATCACATCCAGTGTATTCCATGATGCTGAAGAGTTCTCAGCCGAAAATAAAGCTTTAAAATAATCAACCGCCTCTGCTGCAATCTGATTATCATTTACTATCCAATCCTCATTTGCACCTTTGATCCGATGAATAACCGCCTTCGCCCTACGCTCCGCAACTACAGCGTGGAAATATTTAGAGTTTTTATCACCCTCACGAATCCATTTAACCCTTGTTTTTTGCCTCCAATATCCTTCCTCTATCATTAACGCATTCTTCAAAACAGCCCGCTCTTCTTGAAGTGCAATTAGATTTGGCTCTGACAGATCGTTATCAAAAAGACCCTCCAGCCTTAGCACCTCCCCTCCAGCCTTTCTTACCCTCTCAAAAATATCTCCAAACGATTCTCTAGACCACAATGGCATTTGCCTTTTTACCTCCAGTAGTTTGAGAGCCAGTCTCTGCAAAGGAGGGCCCAAAAAGAAACCACCCAACATTGTCGAATAATATCCAATAATTCCGGCTTAGACGTCGACACATTTAAGAATCGAAAGGACCTTGGCTTATTGTGCGGCCTAGACATTGCCATCAGTAACAAGGGAGCATAATCCGAGAGGTCCCGCCTCAAATGTTGCACCGTAAAATTATAATCTAAAGAAGACGCATGCTAATTGTATAACATTCTGTCTAGCCTCTTCCAGATATGCGCCCTCCCCCCTTTATTATTACACCATGTGAACTTTGAACCCGAGAATCCAGCGTTTTGCATTCTAGCCGTAGCCATAAAGATATAAAATCCAAACCCTTCCCCAGACGAAAAGATAAACCACCTCATTTTTCCTCCTCACTGACTATAACATTGAAATCCTCTACTAGAAACCATGGTGCATCCACCGGATTATTGAGCAACAGTAAAGACCATAGCGACCTTCTTTCTCATTACACTTTGCATGCATAAATGAAAAGACCATAGGGCCATATACTATTTGTGACTGTATTTTGAGCGACAAATGTTGACTAGACTCACCTATTTGATCACGTATAAGTGAGTTTTGATAGAACACCCATAGAGACCCCTCACTATTGGCAATGCATTTATCCATTCTCAACTTTAACCGTATCCAATGAATCTCTCCCAAAGACAACTTAGGTTCACATATAGCAACTAATTGAATTGAGAACTTAGCAATAAAGCTTTTTAATCTATGAAAATTTGGGGCATGCGATACCCCGAATATTCCAAAATAAGAAATTAATCATCAGACAATGCAGCAAAAGAGTTATTGGACAGCTTTGCTTTAGAGCGTAAAGATCGATCAGTAGGAAATGGTATACGCGTACCTCTGCGCTTGGATTGAGCAATCACTTTACATCCCTCCTGTCCTCCTTGCACTTTTTCTTGAACTTGCTGGATAATAGGATCTAAATTAAAAATTTCCACCACCAAAGAACCAACATCCCTCGGCACAGCTCCAATCTCACCCCGCAGCGACATATTTTCAACGCTTTGTTCTGCAGTAACCACCTCCTCCTTTTCCACGCTGCACTCAACTCCGCTGTGATAAGGCCTTTGCATATATTATTCCCCTCTCCTCCCACCTCAGGGACAACAGGCGTGTCCTTCAGGGGAGAAGAAGGCAAAGTAGTTACCATACCTGGTGCGCAACTATCAAGAGGTATTGACGTAGCTAAGACAGCAACGCCACACCCTTTCTGCATATTCTGGATAGGCAAGTCCGTAGCTGTCCCTTCATCAGATGCTCCTGCAATTGCACTCGACCTCTGCCCTGCCTTACCATCTACCTCCACACTTCCCGCTTTCACCATCGGGCTAAATCTCAAACCTTCACCCACAACTGCAATCTGTTCCATCGCATCATCAGGCACAGCCGAACCTGGCACATCCGTAAGCTCCTTAGCAGGAACCTGCCTTTGCGCTTCATCAGGCCTTTCAACCATCGTCTTAGGCTATGAAGCTTCCTTCAACTGTCCCTATTCTGTCCGAGATACTGGGTGGAGGAAACGACAGTCAACCTGATCATGTCCTTGCCAAAAACAATGGGAACAATACCTAGGGATATTTTCTGGAACCAAGTGCTGCCAAAAACCCCCATGATCCCCATTGCCAATCCATACTCTACCTGGAAACGACTTAAGCGAATCAATCTCCACACAGACTCTCGCCACACTTGGACGAGAGCCAGAAGCCGTGGCTGCATCAACAAATAGTGGCTTGCCCACACAGCAAACAATTTGAAACAAGCATTCCTTGTTAAAGTAATGAATTGGTAGCTTTGGCAATTGGAACCATATTGGAACTACTGATGGCTCACGGTCAACATGAAACTCTGGCAACCACCGGAAAACCCTCATTGGCATCCCAAAAACATACCAGATACCCCTTGCCCATATTCTATGAAAATCTATCTCTGTGCCCAGCCTTATTAAAACATGTCTGGAATCCATCAAACCAGCCGAAGCTTCCTCTTTTAGATCAAGCGAGTGGAAAAACTTCCTCAAATCCTCTATCTTAGGCCTTCCCTTCGAGAATTTCCCCACCAAAGCAAACTTATATGGCGTAGCTAACATCTCCAGACCTGCTTGTGCAAACAAAATCGCTGGTTCACCTCTATGAGACGACACCTTGGCATTGACTTTGAACGTAGGTCTCGACGTTACCGTATTATCAAATAGCTCAGAGAATGATTTTTTGTTAAAGGTAGGAAAAGTTATATCAGATTGCCCTCCGAATGGTTGCCGGAGAGCGGCCATGGCATCCATGCAACCCTAGCCAACCCTAGCCGCCAACAATCGAAGAACTTGTCTAGAGTAAGGATCTAGTTCTTGTAATTTTCGCTCTTTGTGGGATCGACCCGATTAAAAAATAATAATTAACCATTAACAAAGTAAAAAAATATTAGTTTTTTTTAGTAAATCCTTATTTTGTAAAATTGTGTTATATGTTAATGGTTTTAATAATTGTGTTATATGTTAATCGGTTTGAATTGACTAAAAAAAGTAAACTATTAAATTTAATCATTTTATCCTATATTATCAACTAAATAAAGAGATAAATACATTTAAGAAATTTCAAATTGCATATTATTCAATACAATAAATATTTATTGAATTATGTTTCCAAACAATATACTTAAAAAACATTTAAGCACATAATAAGCACTTTTATTAAAAAGCTCTATTAGAAAAGTACTTTTCAATAAGTTATTAAATCCCAAACGGGCTCTAATTCAGTTAGTTAGAATGTATCATCCTATATGTAAAATACAACCAAATATAGGATGACATAGGATAATTAATCTAATCTTATATCATCCCATGAACCAAACGGATCCTTAATAATGAATTCGTCTTGAACGACAAAGGTTATTTTGATAATACAATCAAGTTTTCAGATAATGCAAAATTCTTGCCCTGAAGTAAAATCAAATGTCAAGATCATAAGGTACTTGGGCCTCTGGCAGCCAATACTCACCATTAATGAACTGTCTAATGCTAAATGTTGTAGCGTCGTCAGTAATATTATGAAACACAGGCCATTGAACCCTTTAACTATGGTTGAAAGTTGTGGTCGCGGCTTGGACTGTTTCACATCGATTTCGACATATTAATTCTGGTTTCAGCAAGACACAAATTTTGAAATATTTAATATTTTAAAAATCATGAATAATATAAAAGAAATGTGCTAAACAAAAATAATAAAAGATTAGCAAAATAAAATCTGTAAAATGTACTATTTTTATACATATTAAACACAATAAGTATCCTTAATCATTTAATATAATGGTATCACAAATAAAATCAAGATAACACATAACACAATTTTAAAACTAATAATTGCAAAAGTAATATTAACCACTAACAATACCAAATAAGGATTTATTTACAACATAAAGTTGGAATAACTTTGCTAATTTAATGATCAATCTCCTGCCAAAAATAAAAATGAAACATATTAAACAATAGGCAAATATCTAAAAAGATATATTATTACTTTATATTTTCGTACCTGCTAATACCAAATAGAATGATGATGTAAAATGGTTTTCTGTAACCAAGATAGTTGCAAGTGGATTTCTACAAACATTTTAAGTAAGTTTGGACCCAAGAAAAGAATTAAATATCAAGTCAAAATGGTAATTGCATATGTTATAAAGATGTTAATTTCGTACATTGTATTTTTATATAATCCAAAACTTTAACATCACCTTTTGGACTGATTGCTGATGTTGGCAATAGGAAACTGAACTCAACATCGGATGATTCACAATCCATCAATATGGCACCCACACCATTAGCAAGTAGAATGCCAGAACCATCAACGAAGACACTGTAGAAGACAATCTTTCCTTCTCAACATTCATGGTACCAAATAAGCAATAGCTTCCATACAGTGGACCCTAACCACCAGTGTAGTTGACTACATCTCCTCCCCAGATTGAAGGATATGTATATGTCCCATTACCCGTGATGTTGAAATTATTAATGGCAAGTCCCTTCATAATTTGTGTAGTAGAATTAAAAGAGAAAATCCAAATTTCCCTAGTCACAACCATGGTTTGTGAAACCTTTCGCTATTTTGCCTTAGCTTGCATTGCACACATGATATGTTACATTTTTGTCATTAATTTTATGATTATTTCCCTCTTTTATTTTACTAAATATTGCGTTAATTGGTGGATTCTATTTATTTTTGGTAATTATCATTGGTTGTAGGGATTCGGAGCGGAAAGGAGTTAAGAATGTGGTTTTAACTAGACTTTTATGCAATTCGGCGAGGGCGCATCAAGGTCCATTTTGCATGTCCAGGAACGCGAGATTTGACACGTGATTTTCAATCTTGAATTGGAGTTGGTTTGAAGTCATGGAAGTCAGGCTCTACACCGCAAGACTAGTCTCCTATTCCTATTAGGACACTAGTATAGTTAACTATCTTGACTTTTTGAAACAATCTTTTTATCTAGTAGGAAATTTATTTTATTTAGGAATCTACAAAAGAGGAGTGATCGTGTGACGCCCCCACTTCTCCCTAAGGCGAACCAAAGGGTATCTGCGGGACGCCTGCCCAACTCTCGCCAGGACTCACGCAAAACATTCAAGCTTATTACTAATCTAAATGTCATAAGTACAATAACATAAATACAATGATGCGGAAGCGTTCAAGTTAACCATGGTCATCCATTATCCAACCCGTACATCGGGTGTTCAAAATACAACTTTAAACCCAAGTTTACCTCATGCCCAAGTACTACATTCCAATTACAAAAATACAACCCAAAACCAAGAGGCATAGTCAAAATGATGATAGAAACCCTAAACAAAAGTACATCAGGAGGGTTTCTCCAATACGTCCCCGGATCCAGTCCTGTTAAGGAAAACAAATCTACAGGGTGAGCAAAACGTTCGTGAGGCCAAGAACACACATGCAAGCACATTGCTCAAATAACAATCTCAATTTATAAGTCAAGCAAACATATTTTAGTAATTAACAATTTACTGGAAATATAACCAGAAACAATTCAAGGATACTGGAGCTCTCAGGAGCTATATTCCACTTGCACATTCAATAACCTCCACGAATTGACACTCCGTCAATCGGGTAGGTTTAGTCCGCAGAACTCCACTTAACCTGTCCCCTTTCACCTTACATACCCCTGTATCGGGCCCGCCTGTCATTTGTTGGTGGCGATACTACTCGAGTATGCCAAGCAAGACCTCTCATTAGGTCAAGCTTATATATCTCATGGCTTGCCAAGGTTCCCGACCAAGTCCATGCCGGCTCGAGTCCTAGGTCGGCCAATGAGATTTGGGCGTCCCCATGTGCACTTGTGTGTCGAGGAGATTCACTCCAATGACGTATGCAGCTATAGCATACCATTACATTTCATTCATTCATTCAATACATTTCAATCATTCATTCAATGCATTTCAATCATTCATTCAATACATTTCAATCATTAAAATTTCATTTCTAATGAGAACGAGTATGGTAAAGTACACACTCGACTCCACTTTCAAGATTTCCAATCATTAATAACAATTAAACATGTAACAAGTTTACATACACCTGACACTCACCAAGTATTAGGTGTAAGTAAGGTCAAGGAAAGTTCAAGCGTCCACCGTGGGATCCTCTTGAAGGTTCTCGTGTGCGCATGAGCAAATAATAGTGAATTATCATTCATATCCCAATTATCGAGGAATAATTCGTTCACTAGTATTAATCTAGAAAATTCCGTGAAAATGAACCTCAATTACTCGTAAATCGAGGTTCGAGTGGGGTTTGATAACGTTTAAAAGTATTTAAGTCTTTATCTAGGAAATCGGGGATAAAACGTTTAGATAATATCAAAAGAATAAAGAGTTCTTGAAAAACTCTATTTCCTTGAAAGTTGGAAAATTTCAGTTTTGTTATGAATCTTTGAAAAATCGTAACTCACTCGGCATAAGTCGAGAATTGGAAAACTTTATACCGTTGGAAACCTCTTAGAAAGTACTACAAGTTCCTAGAAGACACTTTTCCATGAATCGAAGTGAAAAGTGTTCAAAAATGAGCTTGAAGGTACTGACTAGGTTCACAAGGCAGAATTAAGTTGGATTTTGGCCAACTTTGAAAATTCGGCACGATTCACACGTTGTGAATCGGCCCCTGAAATTTGTAACTCAATTAGAGTTACAAGTAAGGTTTATAGCAGAGCAAGCGGATCAAGAATCGGAGTTTCGAGTACTGAGATACGGTAGCTCGAAGTTGGGGAAAATTCAAGACTGGAGAAGAATTTCCAGATTTGAACTTCCAACACTAGAAGTTTAGTTAGGTATCGAAACGAACTTGGATTGGTACCAAAATTGGTAGTATTTTACTCTTATATGAAGGGTATCTCTCTATCAAGTTTCATAGAAAAATACCTTCGGAAAGGTAGTCAACGAACCAACTAAAGTTTGGAAAAATTCTTAAGGCAATCTGCCTTTAATCCTTTTCTTTCCAAATCCAATCGTTTGGCTAAGAAAATCCTCCAATCATGGTTCATATGTGAAAGGAAAGTCTAAGGAACATTCATGATACATTTGGTAGGTGTTTAACACCAAGAATTTCATTTAGTAAGACCACAACAAGTCTCATCTCAAATCTGTCCAAAACTAGTTTTTTTCCAAAACAGAGCAGTGTTCTTGTTTTGATCACAACTCAGTCGACCTAACTCGGAATTGAGCATGGTTTATGGAGTTGGAAAATACATTCATAGGGATAAAATTTCACAGAAGGAAACGTTCTGAAATTTGGCAAACAACCAGCTCGAAATTGAGCCTCAAGTTGCTGCCTCTACAATTCATTCCAGCAGAACAGAGAAACGGGACAGCTATCTTAAAATGAATGGTTCGGCTCCTACACATGGAATAAGAATACGCATTTTATACCGTTGGAAAGGTATGGATGTCTAGTTTTAAATTCCACCAACGACACTCAATTTCGACGTCGGAGGACAAAGTTATGGTCAAAATGCTACCGCTGGACAGGGTTATCCAAAAACAGTTTTTCAGCTTGACTAGTTCACAAATAAATTCATTTGCCCATCCAAACGTTAATGTTTTCTAATGAAAATTTTTACACATCTAATACAACATATAGACATCAGGTTCAAGCCATTAGATCATCAAAAATTGGCCTTATCATGGCCGAACAAAGCAGGGGCAGTTTCAGAAATTTTTGTCATGACCTCCACTTTGAGTTTCCAACAATAATACTCCATAAATCTATC